AAACACTGCTTGCAGGATTAGTATAGTGAAAAGTTGTCCTTAGATTTAGCAATTGCTTTTAAATTTTTAATGTTAGAGAGCAACATGTAGTGGCACAAGCAAGATGACTTGGAATTAGGTCCAAGAGAGAATCAGAGAAAGAATTGAATGCATTAGCCCTTCATATCTCTTCGTAGGGAGTCATGACTGCAAAGCACAATAGAAAGAATGATAAGGTCAAGATCTAGTTTTGTGTGTGTGTGTGTGTGTGAGAGAGAGAGAGAGATAGAGAGACAGAGATAGAGAGAGACAGAGAGACAGAGAGAGACAGAGAGAAACTTTTGAAGTTATGGGAGCAATGTAACAGATACAAAAGAGATGCTGAGTAAATTTGTGGAAAGATGTCCTCAAGCAGTCAAGATGGGATGGAATAGTACTCAGTAGATACAGAGGGGTTTGCCTTCACCAGATGCACAGGGAATGCATTCCTATGACCCCAGTCACACCTTAGAAAACAATGTAGAGTATGTGGGTGTAGCTGCACCTGGTGGGAGCGCGTGAGGGACTGTTGCTTCTGGTTGTTCCTATTTCATCATAAATGAATATAGAAAAGGTGTGGATTTGAGGAAACAGTATAAGAACAGGAAAGTAGAAAAGTAAATGTACTAAGGAGATGTAGTAGTACTTTCTGGAAGCTCACTGAGCTAAATTAAATATCATAACCTGAGACAGTAAAGTACGATTTTATGTTCTCTATCTAGCTTAGCAACAGAATATGTTTATAGTTGGGTTTAAAGTAGTGGAACTTTCAGCCAATGAAACAAGTGAGGATTAATTTATATAAGTGCAAGCATTTTTCACCCTCAACAGATTCATTTGTAACATAAATTTTGTCTCCCAAAGTGGAAGGTTAAGCAAAGTCCTATAAATAATTGAAGCCTCTTTCTCCCATTTATTGTTGCTAGTACATTGATTTTTATAGACCCAAGGGTCCCTAGAATTGGAATTGAGGAGTGTGGAAACTAGAGATGTAAGACAAAGAGGCTGGGCAGCTTAAGAGGGCATCAAGGAGAGTTAAAAATACTCCCAAGAAAGAGAGGCACCAGCCTCACTGACTCATCGTTATACTAAAATCAGGAGACTGATGGAAGCCTCCAGGCTCAAAGGTCCAGCGGAGTGGAAATGGCAGTGTAGACAGCCTTTTCACCCCTTGGCTCTGACCTCACTTGCACATCTTTTCATCTTGTTGTGTAGAGAAAGTAGGTGGCTTTGTTAGTGCTGGATGCCTCCTTTCTGTGGGTTGACCACCTGAAAACTTGGTCTCTGCTCTGGGCTTTGACTCTTTTCTTATATGTGCTGCGAGAGTTTCCCTGTCCTTCAGTGGCATCCTATTTTTCATCTCTTCTTTACAGTTTCAACTATTTCTGCTGTTTCTCCTAAATGTTGATGAGCCCTAACTTTACATATTCAACATATTTAAATATTTCCTTGACAAACTTATCTGTTCACATAGTTTTCATAACCATCTATTTATCTTTTAATGTGCTGATCTTATATTTTCCTTACATTTTCCGAATCTTATCAATGAGTACCCAGGGTCCTCAGCTGTCCAGCATGGAATTCATGAGCTTTTACCTCAAGCACAGGCATTCTCCTGCATTCGTTCTTAGCAATCTTTTAGTGGTATAGACCGTCCCCAGTTTCTTACTGGCTCCCAATCTAATCAGTTATCTCCACATTCTATGTTATAACATCCCTTTTCCTTAGTGATCTTTGCCTACACTATAGCTTTAGGTCCTTGAATAGTATTCTTTTTGTCTTATTCTATAATCGCACTGGAGCCAGATGATGTCTCTAAAGCTTACATTGCTCCCCATTTAAAATCATACTGAATGAGCGGGTTATACAAAGAATCTCAACACTGGCCCTTACTTATCCTTACCTCTTCTCTGAATTCTGTCACACAAGGTACCCTTGACTTTTTTAGTCCACTATGGACACTGCACTATCTTTCCTTTACAGGTGTTTACAGCAACTCATCTTCTTTTTGGCTACAATATCTCCGTTTCCCACCCACTGGCTTTCCTGAGTTAATTGCTAATGGATGCTCAGGATTCGGTTAAGATAGAATTTCCTCTAGAAAGCATTTTCTGATAGCTTTAAGCTGAATGAGACAATGTCTCACCCATGGCAGGGAGCCCATAGACTCGTGAATCTCACTGAAGCCTGGAGAAATATTCCATTCACCTCTGTGTCCCTAGCACTTGGCACCTCCTAAGTTCACAGTTGCATTTGCTGAATTCATGAATAAATGAATATATTGCTAAATTTCTAGTAACAACTTTGGATTCACATTAATTGATGGAAAGGGAACCTCTACTGTAACAGATGCAACTGATTACCTAGCAGATGAAGTCTTGGTGTGGAGCACAAGGCCAGATTTCCACTTAGCTCATTTCTGTGTGAGTGGCATAAGCCAATTTTTGTATCTTCTGGGCAGAATGAAAGTCGTGTCTGTGTATATATGTGTCTGTACATGCACAAATACCCATGTACACACATATATACAGATGTACATGTATGAATTTTACAAGCACAGTGATAACCCTGGCTTTTTAAAACCTCACTATGGACTTTTTATTTTTCTACTAATGTCTTTAATCTAACTTTAAGAACTATAAACCATATTATTATATTTTAATTTTTAACAGAAGCTAGAGATGGTTCTTCTTCAAAATGAGCAAAACAGGCAGTTAAAACACTAAGCAGCAGATTGCTCTGAGAAATGAATAGGTTTAGAAACCACCACTACAAAGTACCTTAAAGGAAAATTCCTTCTCTTTTCGTTACCTTACACCTCTTGGTGACCAAACCTGCATTTAATTCCAGGCTTTAAAGGAGATTTTATGTGTACGCATAGTCTGTTTTCACACAGTTTGCCCAAGAGAGGGTAGCTGATTTCAGATAAATTGATCCGCCTTCACCAAACTCATGGTTGAACAGCAAAGACTAAGGAACATGAACTTCTTAACTCCTCATAGGCTTAGACTACACATATCATGCTGATTTTAAGTGTAAAAAACATCTAAAATATATATTTTTGAATTTTAAAGAAATATTTATAGTTTCATGGTATAGAAAATGTTAAACCTAATGTGATGTTTAACACAACATGTTATTTCCAAATCACACAAATACTTGTATTCTGAAATATCTTTATGAGACAGTATAATGATTCTAAGTAATTTTAATTATGAGAAAGCTTATTGACAAATTGTTTTTATCTTAAAATATTAGCAGCTATTGAGTTCAAATGTCAGATACTCTGAACAAAACTACTTAGTTCTCAAAAATATTTCCTAGTTCAATAAATAGTCCAGTTAAATTGGTATTAGACATAGAAAAATCCTATTCATAATTGCTCATTTTTTTCAGCATTGAGGACTGAACCCATGGCATCTTCACTAAGCTACATCTCCAGGTGTTTATTTTGTATCTTTTATTTTGAAAAAAATGTTTCATTAAGTTGCCTGAGCAAGACAGATTCATAATCCTCCTTCAGCATCCTCAAAGAGGCTCTTCACACTATTGTTCAGTAGAGAACTCAAGTCATCAGCCAGACAAACTAAGGGAAAGAAACAGAAATGAAAGGGATAAAAATAGGAAAGGCAAAACTATCCTTAGAGAGGACATGATTTTTTGTATAGAAGACACAAAACTTCATTATAAGATCCCTAGAGCTAATACATTCAGCAAAATAGCAGGATACAAAATCAAAAATCAATAGTGTCCCTGTATATCAATATTGAACCCTTCAGGAAAGAAATCAGGCAAACAATATCATTCATAATAGTTTCAAAGAATTACATGCTTAAAAGCTCAGCTAACCAAGGAAGTGAAAGACATCTATAATGAAGATGTTGATCATCAAAAAATCAAACTAAGTTCTGGATAGGCTGTGATAAAAAGGAGCACCCTATATTTTCAGTTGGGAAGTGGGTTATTATCCACTATGAAAATTGTCATGGAGGTTCCTCTAACATAACCAATAAAAACAGGTTTTTTCATTTGACCAAGCCATTCCCCTTTCAGGTGTCTTCCCAAAAGAGTTAAAGACATTAGATTACAGTGAGTCACTCATACCCACAATTTTAGCAGCATGACTCTTAATGAATTTTGGAAATAGCCATATGTCAATGCATCAAGTGATGAAGGATGCAGAAAATATGCTGTTTATACAGCATATGGACTAGTACTTTGCCATTAAGAAGGATAATTTTGAATCAGCTATTGGAAAATGATGCACCTTGTGATCATAATATTAGAGAAATAAGACAAGCCTAAATACTGCCTGGGTTGTTTTATATCACAAATCTAAATAATTTAAAGATAAATAATTTAAATAATTTAAAGAGCAAAATAAAAGATAATAGAAAACAGGAAGATGGATTTTTGCAAAGGGGAAGATCTAGAGATGCAAGGAGGAATAAAAAGAACCAAGCTGTGTTATATAAATATATCAATGCCTCACAATTAATGTAATAATTATCTACAGTAAAAATAGTCAAATAAAATAAAAATGAGAGGCTAATGAAAAAGAAACAACTCTAATAGATAGGGAATGCATACTGCAATATTAAGGAAAATTCAAAAGGTTGAGCCTTACTCCTGCTAGTGAAAGGTCTGAGCATTTTGATAGCTTTGCTCCTTTCAGTTCCTTTACTTCTGTTCCTTCCCTCTCTTCTTTCTCTCTATATTGCTCTTTTATTCTATCTTTCCTCCTCAGTAATGGATTTTCAATCATCTCCCTTTCTTACTGAAGGCTATTACAACCAGGAAAATATTGAAAAATATTTAAAATATATAAGTATCCTTTAATATTTTTCTACTCTTGCTGGAGTCTGAATTTTATAGCAACCTCAAGGATAATTTTTGACAATGTCTTTAGAATAAGCCACTTTTACTGGAAAAAGTAAACCAGTCTCATCAGAATTCATTTATATTATTATTCTCTTTTATAGAGTATTCCAAAGCTCCTCCTGGTCTCCCAACTTCATATGCCGCTTTGTTAAGAATCAAGAAAAGTTCATCCTCATCTCTCTTTGGATCAAAGACCAGACCACGGTACAGCAGTCCTGCTTTAGGGACACTAAGTGTTTCTTCACCAAGTTGGCGCGGGGCAGCTCAACATTACTATTCCCCCATCAACCTCTATCACTCCTCAGATGCCTTCAAACAAGATGGTAAGTGTGAAAGAAAATTTGCAAAAGTACAGCTACACAGGCCAGGAAACCTTGAACAAGGTTACTGAAATAAGAGCAACAGACTGAACTGAACCGTGCTGTAACAAAAGGCAAAATAAAGTTGGAGGTAAAGTGAGTTAGGCAAATTGGAGTTTAGAGAAGGGCTTGGTCGGTGTGATGAGCCCATCTGTATTTGTTCACTGGTATGTATGAAAGTTAAGGACCTGTCCTCTAACAAAGCCAGGACACTGCCCCTATGTTTCTTAATGACTGCATTTCAAATGAATAACTCATGCACAGCTGCTTGAGACAGGTACTGGTGCTTTGTAAAAATGGCAAGAGACTGGGAGATTATTGAAATCTCATAGGGGGGGAGAATGAATTGACGATTGCACATTTTTTAAATGTTCTAAGAAAAAGGCAGGTCAGAAGACTATAGTAAGGAACAAAAGTTATTGAGTAGAATATTAAGGCTGTCTTGGTCATAAGTTTGCTTTCTACTCTTAATATCTCTCAAGATACTTTAAGCATTTAATTCATTATACTCAATAGCAGTATTCTTTAGGATTAAGTTAAGTACATTCAGAGTAAAAGTAAAAATACATATTTTTGAATAGCATTTTGGCATTGAATATTAAAAGGTTTCAGATAGTCACATTGTTCAATCCAGTGATTTTTATCTCTACATAAATATTCCATGAAAGTATATAATAAGTAAAATACACAGATCTATGCTTGTTCTGATTTTCATTTTTAAGTAGAAAATAAGGTACCTTTTAAGTTCAGAAGTTCTCTTCAGCTATTAATATTATGGCTTCAAAATCATTTTCTAGATTTTTTTCTAACATTGTCATGATTGAACATAATAAAATCAGGTACACTAACAATCAGGGTGACACACTAGCACCTGACAGTTACTAGGCTCTGTGCCTGCCTCATGTATATAGCTAATCTCATTGGGTTTCTTCAATGAATAAATGAGGTAGATATTTTTACTGTCCTGTACATGAGTGACAACTCAGGGTTAGAGAAGCATCTTTTCATCAGGTCACACTGATAATAGGGTAACCAGTTTTCATTTCAATATCTACTAACTTTAAGACCAATATACTTTGGGCTAGTCCAGGTGAAGGACTAAATACTCAGCATATATTTTGTAAGATCTAAATACTTAGAAAGATTCTAATTTCAAGAATTCAAATAGCAGATCAGTTGTGGTACTAGGCACAGGCAAATCATTTTTCCTGATTATACAAATTGTTCCCCTTGTGGAACATCATCTTTTCATGTTAGCAGTTAAATCTTATCAATACGTGGTCTTAGCACCCTACAAATATATTTTACTTTTCAAAATACCTGTTAGTAAAATTTTTACATTCCCTTATATTAAGTTTAATGTCATAAATAGGCTGAGATATGTGGAGATTTGTGTTCCTTAGATTTGAGTTATTTATGGGATGATATGAAGGTACAATATATTGAGTGTTCAGAACCATGAGCTACTTATATTTGATATAATTTCCTACCAACTAATCTTTTCCTCCTTTGTTCCCTTCTTCCGGGTTAAGGACCTCACAAAGATATGGGAAATACAGTTAGAAAATATGAATTAAAACACAGGAAAATTAAGAAAACAAACATTTGAGCCTAAGGTAGAGCAAGGCCTGAGACTGACTGATGCAGTGTTTATTTTTAGTGCCTATTTTTTATACTGGTACTGCATGTAACTATATCAATTGTGAGTTCATTCCACTTTTTGTAGTTAGTAGCCAAGGAACAAAAGAGTGTAATCCGTATATATTACATAATCATCAAGCTTTTCTTTCTTTTTTTTTTTTTTTGGTAGTGCTGGGGATTGAGCTCTGAACCTTTACACTGAGCTATATCCCTGGTACTTTTAAAATTTTCTGACGCAAAGTCTTACAAAGGTGCCCAGATTTGCAATCCTTCTGCCTCAGCCTCCTAATATTAAAATTTTAAACGAGAATCATTACTCAATAGGAGAACGACTGTTTTTGAAACTAGCTAGATTTCTCTGAAGGGCCCTTCTGAAGAGTTTATTATTAGAGGCACACCAGTGATCTGAGCATTATTTTTACTGTAAAGATAATGAGTTTCACCTTTTACAGTATTGTCAGTTGAAACCCAAGTAGCAAAAAAAAAAAAAAAAAAAAAAAAAAAAAGTCTGTTTATGTACAAGAATCATTTAAGAATCTTGTTACAGTGTAGATCCTCTTTCAAAGATTACCTTGTTTGTAAAAAGCTGTAGATGCTGCTGCTGCTGCTCTGTGGGTTATCCTTCAAGTAGCAAGGCCCTAGTCTTGGAATAAATTCAGTGTAATTTGTTTTCTACTGATCTAGTTTAAACATCTTTTAGAATATCTGAAGGAATGGATAGTTTGAATATTTTCTAAATAATGTTCTGTAACTATTGTTTTCTCAACTGAGTATTTGATAGATCTCGGCTAGATGTGACTTTGAATTCTTTCTCTCTGACAAGAATCTGACGTATGGCTTTTGTCAGGTAATTCCCTTTAGCCTTGATAGAGAGTAAACCAGAAGCTGACATGCTCTTGTGAAAAATGAGAAAACTAACAGACCTTGAATACAAAGTCTTCCCACCCCTGTTTAGAGTTAAGCCAAGAAGTACTATAGATGGAACACTGACTTTTGTGAGAAATGTAAAATCCCAGTTGGCAGAGAAATTTGGGGGAAGCAGTGTGAATTCTGGATATTGATCCTGGTGAAACTCTCCTGTACATATACAAGAAAATAAAATAGGCATTCATTACAATATAAGTGAAAACTGAAAAATTACAGCTTCTATCAGTAAGGAAATTAAATACATCAGTTGTAGGTTTTTTTCCCCATTTGAAAACTTACATAATTAAAATGAACTGATTATATCTTCATGAAACTAACTGGATATGATTTAACTTTTAATGATAAGCAGAAAAGTAATTATTAAGTATTACATATAGTAAGTCATTTATGTAAAATAATATAGGCATACATTTATCAAGCACAATTTTCGACATGAACTTGATACTGCAAGTTGACTGTAGCACCTGCCTCTGAGGACAGAGTGGGTATGAGAGCATGGAAATATTAGGAATATAAAGAACTAAAACCTTTAATGTATTCTTAAAAATCTGAAACAAATATGGTAACAGATGCAGGAAGTACAGTATCTAAAATGGCTCACAGTGACTCACATCTGGTTCTTACAGTGTGATCTCTGCGCTTGGGACTTCAGCTGTTATTTCTGGTGATCAGATAGTAGAAAAAGTAATGGGATATGATTTCAGACACTGGATTATAAATGATCGTGGCTCTGTCTTGTTTTCTTTCATTTCCTCTTTGGTTTGCTCCTGCTGATAGAAGTCAGTTCATGCTGAGAGCTCTCCTCTGGAGAAGCCCACTGAGAATGGCCTCTAACCTACAGATTTTGAGCATCCAGTGCACTCATTTGAACAGTACTCAGAAACTGACTCCTGCCAATAATTACCAGTGAATTCACAAGTGGGTGTGTGCCTATTTGACACTTGGAATGGAGCTACTGTCCCAACGTGTGAAATTTAAGTACCTGATTAAACCATACTTGGTTTCTTAACCAATGGAAATAGTGAGATAAAAAGCATTTAGATTTATTTTCTATGTAATTTCTATGACCTTTAACCTACGTCTATATTTCTCTACTGATATTTCCTATGCTCTCAGAGTTCTAAAATTTCTTCCCTACATTGTATCTATTTCAATTTTGGCACCTTTTGATTATTTTAGTTTGGTATAATTTTCTAGCCAACCAATTCCTACATTTACCCAAGATTTTTTTATTCTGGTCTCCATTATTTATTCTTCTTGGTTCTCCTTAAACCACTGCACAGATTTACATTTTGTTCTAATTATTACATTAACAGATGCTAGACAAAAAGGCAAATGCACTAAGTGGAAGAGATAACATTCTATATCCCTACTATTTTACTTATTACTAGTTTATATTAAATGTATTATCATTTATTCATTCAATTAGAAGTTGTGAAATATTTAACATCAAGGAAATGTGAATGTCTCATGTTTATTAATTTATTAAATTTTCATATTTATCCATATTTGCTCTAGTATATTTTTATATAAAATTTAAAGTGAGGGCCCTTGAATGCATTGTTTTTCATATGATGCCTCCTCTTTATTTATATAACACTGCAAGTACAAGGTCCTGAGTTCGATCCCCAGTGCCAAATAATAATACTACTAATAATAATACCATAACCAGGTACAAAATTTGAAATTAATGTTTTCTTTCAATACTTTAGTTTTCTGCTATTCTTCCTTTTAGCAAGTAAGAAGTCTACAATCAAATATGAAATTCATTTGTAAATTGACTGCAAGCTAATTTTCTAATTCTTGATCTTTTGCATGCTTACTATATAATTTCTTAACATGGACTGTTTTCTCAGGAAATATTTTTAGAGAAGATTCCATCTTGATTTTCAAAGGTGAAAAATCTGCTGTCTTTCCTCAAATCTTCTCTACTGATATTCACCTATATATTTATATTCATACTTATTTTATATATTCATTTGTGTGTAAAATATGTGCCTCTATATAATTTATTTTTCAAGTCTTTTAAGTATCTTTAAATTTCTAGGTTGCATTACAGTTGGCTGAAAATCAACGAGGCTATATTTAATTTCAAGGTTTTTTATCACTTCTCTTTTCATTTCCACTTCTTAATTTTTACCCTTGTTGTTTTATAATTTTTAATAATTATAATTTGTTTCTTTATATTTTGAGTATCCAAACATGTGTCTTCAAGTGTTATACTAGACCTAATTTTAATATATATTTTATCTAGAATAAGTTATTGTTGCTATTATTGACTTTGATTTGTGGAGCATTAGATTTCTTTATCTGTGCTGTAGTTTGGGTTATTTTTCAGGTATATATTGGATGAAAGCATTGAAACTTACTCTCCACTCTCTAGCATGTATTACCTC